TTTTTTTTTTTTTTGTATTAAATAAGAACGCTTACAGAAATCAGTTGGCTATAGCCTAAAGATGTTGAAGCAGCCATGCTGAATGAATGAATAAATTTTAACTGAATCTTAGTGCGTATACAGTTGTATAAAGATTCAGAAAAATGTTTTACAAAGATGTTTCAAATGCTATCGTGTAGTTCTCTATCGATGTCGATTAGTCAGAATGCTCCTCTCTTCAGAATATCTGTGATTCACTAATCCAACTTTACTCATTTCCTGCATCTACCGTTCTAGATTTTCTTTCTTACCAACCACATCTTCAGTCAGTCTAAGGGCAAAAATACTGTATAAGAATTAGTAGTGGAATGATGTAGATGATATTTTCATTTTTTGTTATCGACCGGTTCTAGCTGAATTTCCTTACACAGCAAATGTTCCTGCTTGTTTTATATCAACTTTACAAAACTTCAGAACTCAAACTTCTTTAATTTTCTCAAGAAATATATTTAATCAGTTAATAAATAAGCAAATATTTGAAAGTTTGAAAAATTTTAAACAATTTTTCTTTTCTTTTTGCTCTATTTTGATTAAGTCGTCTTAGCTGAATGATTCACTATTTAAATCTTGTTCTTCTTTCACTTTGTTTTTCTTACTGTCGCAAAAAAGAAAAGAATTTGCCTAACGAATCAAACAAAAGTTGCAGATTCTTTGCTTTCACTGTGATTGTTGTTGGTTTGATTTGTTACGCAAAATAACAGATCAAACAAACGTTGTTTATCAAAAGTATTCACTGAGATTGTCTTTGTCTCACAGGATTGATAAAGGCTTTAATAAAAACAAGGAAAAAAAAAGTGTTCGAGAAATTTCAAGTGTAAATAAGAAAATATTTTATTAGTGAACATAAAGTAATTTCAAAAGAACATTTGACACTCAAATTTGTCTTTATTTTGCACATTACGTCAACTTCTGTATCACCTTTTATTACTTTTATCAGCTAAAATTATTTTTAACAAAAAACTCCTTTGCGGTAGCAGAAAAGCACAAAAAATAATCATTTTATGAATTTTGGACCTGTTAAAGTTGCCCAAATTTTTTTTTTACTTTTTTTTTTCTTCTTGTCTTCCGCATTTAGCAGCAGCTGTTAAAATCTGAAAATGACAAAACTTCCTCTCTTTCCATTCTTCTGTTCGTAAAGGAAAGAACAACCCAATGTTTTTCAGTGGCATTTCGCCAAAACTTCTCTTTGAGAAATGAGACAAGCATACTGTATTCAGAAGCAAATTCTGCAACAGATTAAATAACTGTAATTTTTATCTCAAATTGTTATAAAAGTTGAAGCTTTTTTACATTCTGCACAGTGGAACAGAGCAAACTATTAATAAATAGTTTACAAGCAGCAGTACAGTGATAATTTCTTTGATAACAATTAGTGACTAATTATTTACTTTTATCAAAGATCGAACCAACAAAAAATAATTTTGATCATCAAATTATGAACAAATAAAATAAACTTTGTGCATCCAAAAAAAAAAAAAAACTTTTTAATGCATCAATTTCACACCTTATTGCTCAGTGAAATAAACTTTTTACAACAGAAACTTTACACTTAAGATACCTTGATGTTTATAGAAAATATGCATAATGTGACAAAAAGTGAAAAATAACTATTTCATTGTAAGCACAAAAAGAATTTTTGTATTTTTTGTTTTTTAGTCTATAAAAATACCACTAATCTATTTTACTTATGCAGCTCTGTAAGAGTTGGAAACTATTTTGCTGAAATAATACTGCACTATAAATGCTGCCATTCATAAAAGCGTTTATGATGATGACATCATTTCTGTTAGGTAGTTTGAGTACCACTAAAAGTGTTGAAATAAACTGTTTCTGGTGACTTGAGTTGTTGTGCACAAAACTATAAAACGATTGGAAAACTTTGGAATGGTGAAAAACAACAATAATCTGTTGTTTTATCAAAGACGTATCAACCAAAATAGCTGAGCTGACAATTTTTGTAACAGATAATTGTTCAGTGCATATTATCTTCTATTAACGTGTCTACGATGACGCTGATTATTGAGGTTTATGACGTTCAAAATCAAAACAGTCTTTGAATGACTTCAACTTATTCCTGAGTTATGTAAATACCAATGTTTCAATAATTTTTTTAGAATCGTAATTTGTACGTACAGCTGTCTGCATAAATTTTATGATTTACCAGAGACTAATGTTGTTTGATACTGAAATCGTCTACAATTAATTTACATGTTGTTAAAAAACGATTAAAAAAGTAAAAACTTTAGCCATAAGAAATGAAAAACGGAGTTGATAGCAAAATTGCTTTGAACACTGGTTCCCGACATTTGAATAAGTCACGAAAAAAATATGTACCAAATAGCGTACAAAAAGTGAAAGCACAATGAAAACAAAAAAAACTTTTGAAATACGTAAATTTGAATGGTATATCACTTATTGATTCTGTAAAATATGATTTATATTGAAAACACTCTATATATTTGCACTAGACAAAGTTTGAAAATCAAAATTCTTCAAAAAATATCAAAACTTTACGCAACAGTATTTCTTTTGCACTCTGCGGTAAAAATTGCCTGCTTATGATAAAAAAAAATTTCAATATTATTCAATTTTTTTTATTCAAAAAGAATAAAAAATCCATATATGTTTGTTTTACAAATTTATATATGCTTATTTTACATCATAATTTACACTTTATCTACTGCCTAAATTTTTCAGTTGTAAATTGTCTTTTTTTTTCTAAATTCATTTGTGTTCTCTTATTGCAGTCAAATGTTCATTTGTTTGTAAAAAGTATCATTTTATTAACAAATATATTGAAAAATCGCCAATCTTCTCTTTTTTCAAGAAAAGTTTTTACAGAGAAAAAGATTGGATAAAAGATATAATTTTATAAAAAAGAGAAAAAGAAAACAAGCTCTTCTTCATCAGGAAATGATTGCAACAAGATTAAAAACGATTACAAGAAGAAATGTACATTAAGGCTACAGTTGTTTGGTGTAGAAAAAGAGGATTTGTTTGACGAATTTGCAGGTACAGTTGAGAAGATCAATGCTTAAAAACAACAGAGACCAAATTTATAATTATTTTTATAAAGGTTCAAGAACAATTTCAGTCAGATAAATTTAGTGCGTAAGCTCAGTTACCGTGTAGAAGCCAAATAAAACAATGAAACACTGCGTATAACTCATTTTCTCTGAAAAATTTTATGCTTTTTTAAGAGAATTTAACATATAAAAAGGGGATAATTCTGGGTATCCAACAATTCGACAATGGCTTGAACTTTAATAGAACCTCCAGCATTGCAAGAAAAGACACCCTGTATACTTTGAAGCTTTAAAGCACGAACGTATTAAGAATGAGGCAAAAAATGGCTTTTTTTCACGATATCCAAAGTATCTCCACCTGAATCTCCACAGCAAATTTCTGAATAAAAAAAAAAGAATAATAGATAATTAGCATGCTGAATCTAGTAAAACTATCTAGTAAATTATCTATCTAAACTATCCATTCAATAGTTATTATAATACAGAAAATATATGAATTTAATACAATTTTACCTTATTTCTCATAGTCTCAGCAATTTGCACGCATAATCATTAAATTTCTTAAACTATTCACAGTGCCAGCTGTAAGTACCATCAGTGCAACAGCAGTGGTAATCACAACTATTTCCAATCTGCTCGCATTTACCTAAATGATCACTCTCTCCACATACATCTCGATTCTCCTGTTGACTGCAAGGAGCTAAAAAAACTGATCAACTTTGACATGAATTAACACGCTTGAGAGTTCTGTATTTTACAGTATCAAAAAGATAAAGAAATGATTCTCATAAAGTTCTTATAAACAGAATTAAAAGATTTTTTTTAGAACAAACAATTTATAAAACAGTACCGCACGTGGTTGGCGCTGTAGTCACTTTCTTTTTGGTCTGAGTTTCAGAAGATAATGCTAAAAAACAGAAATTTATTACTTTATTACAAAAAGAGTTTGAAAATATGCAGTTTTTGCAGCGAAAGAGTGCTTAGTTTTTTATTTGTTCAGAGAAATTAAACAGTGCAGTATAATTTATGTTTTCAGAAAGTTTATGAATAGCATTTAAAGGTGTAATTAAGAGTACCGACAGTGGTCCGTTTCGTCGTTGGGGGCGCAAAAGTTCCTACTGTAGACTACATAATTTTCAAAAATGCATTAGAAAATCTTCAGCAAAAATATAAAAGGTAAAAAAAAGAAGGCGGAAATAAAACTTACACTGTTCAAGGTTATTTCACACACAAAACAGCTGTTCTCGGCAACTTCCGTAGTGGTGGCCCACTTAAAACGGGACTGTAGCGACATATAAACCGTAGTTGCTTCCGAAACTTGTGGGGGCTGACCTACGATTCAAAGGCATTATTAGAAAATCAGCTTTGTTAAGAAGAACTGATGCTTAGTCGCGTTTTTAGAACTGAAACTACCTTGTAACCAATTAGAGTAATTAGTTGGGCTATTGTCAGTCCACCTGAATTTTTTATCTGCATCAATATTATACAGTCCGATCCAGTATTTGCATGACTCAAATGTTTTTTCAGCCAAAGCTGCAATATACAAAAAATGGTAGTGATATTTTCTAAATAATCTGTGAAAGAAGTCAGTGATAGAGAAAAATCATGCGGAGAAAAATTCAGCGATGAAAAAATTGAGAAGAAAATGTCACTTACTTGCAACATGAAGATTTTGGAAAGAGTTATGGATAGATACCAAAGATGCTCCATAACGTTGGCAGTTTCTAAGAGAATCGAACCACGAAGATTCATTTCTAAATGCAGCAATACACCTATCACTAGTTCCTGCGTACGGTTCCCATCCAGGTGGACAAGAGCTTCCTCGTACAAGTGTCACAGCGTATACAATAAGAAGAATTACTGCTTTCATTTCTGCAAAATATTTTTGAAAGACTGTAGAAAGTAAAGGAAGCATATGTAGATTGTAAGCTGTCAACTATTTAATAATGCAGACTTCTTTTTTAAAAACCGATCACATTATTTACTAGCTTTTTAATATTTTCTAGACACATTTTTTGCTAGCACTAAAACTAGAACAAAAGCAAGGAAGGAAGGAAAAATTCTGATTAAATTAGATTAGAAAGCTTGTTAAAATAATCTGCAGTAACAGTGAAATTTTTTTAGAATACTTGCTCTTTTATAGACTCTGTTTAGTGCATAAGACTTATCATTAAGTGTGATGCAAACGCTTATTTCTTTTTTTGTTTTAGCTTGCTGGTTTTCTGATTCTTATCATTAGACCAAAGCGTATGCGTCACGTATAAACTTTAAAATTTTAGTTTTTTACCCAATTATTCATGTTTCACTTTGGAGTATTTCTGATAGTCATTTAACGAAGATTAAAACAGTAAAATTTTTTTTGTTTGTCACTAATGACAGGCACAGTTTTTCAACTTTTAAACATTTGTTTTTTGTAGTTTAGAAGAGAATTCATGTTTAGAAAAGATATTGAAAAAACTAAAAAAAAAAAATTTAGAAAGATTTGTGCTCTTTAGGTGTCTAATAAGCCGAAAACAATATAATAAGCCTAACCTAAAAACCTTTTGCAGTCAACTCAAATGATAGTTGAATCTGAAACAAGTTTGTTAAGGACAGCTGTTATAATTTCTTTGATTATTTTACTACATTCAGAAGAAAAATAATAAACTGTGCATTAATGCTTTCGAGCACTATACCAAAAAACATTCCAAAATGAGTCATTTTGAACTGGGTTTGCCTTATGGCTTTTTCGCTGCTAACCAAAAATGAAAAACACTGAAAAAAACAGAAGTAAAGTAATGTTATACTGTACTTTAAACTTTATATTATGACAAAAAAGTTTAGCATAATATTTTTCTGACTAAATGACCGATGTGCCTGCAAAGAAGAACTGATTGCACCTTTTTTTTTTTTCAAAAAAGTGCAAATACAGTCAATTGTTTAATAAAATGCATAACTGTTTTTTTCTTATATTTTTAAGAACTTTTAAGCATTAAAATAGTTTCGTAGAAAAATTGAGCAACAGAAATTTAACTGAAAAAAGCTTTATCGTTTTGCAGAAACAAACCATTTTAATGAGGAAGACAACTGTATTTAATTAGACGATTTAATTAGACATTCTAACAAGTAGCCTCCAAAGCTGTCGACATAGATCTCTTTTCTGGGAAAAAAATCAGTGCTTTTGAAAGATAAAAGAAAGTTTGAAAAAAATTTCTAAATTTAGAGATATTACTCTAAATGTATCATCCTTTTTTGTTTTGCTTATTCTTATTAGCTATTTTTTTCATTTTTTAAATTTTTTAAAGTTATTAAGACTATTTAATTGATTGGAAAGAGCTCATTTTTAATTTGATGAAAAAGTTAATCGGCTTTCAGATAACTATCAAAATTTATCAGATTATTTGTGCCTACAGTACGCTAATACTTTGTGAGAGTTAATAAACAGTAAGGTTTTTTTTTTGCTAGTAAAGTAAATCAGTATTTACTGGTAAAGCTGCTTAAAATGTTAACAAAATTGTGTAGATGCTAACAGAATTCTAAATTTGTGTCGTTAATAGGGTGACATTATATGAGTAATACTCTGAAAGTAAGCGTTTTACTTTATTTGAGCACCCGAAATTGAGATGATGAATTTATTACGTTGTCAAATTAAGTCGTAAAGAAAACAGCTTCGTCTTAACTCAGCCGGGAAGATTATAAATGATAGTTTTTTTATGAATTATCTAAAACTATAAACATCAATTTTTTTGCTGATAGTTTTTGATTTTCAGTTCCAAATACTAAAGTTGTAAACCAGTTCAATTCCTTACTGGCATTTATCACATTTGGTTATACAGTTATTTTTTAGACAAAAAAAAAAA